TGAAAGTAAAAAATTAAGAGTATTTTTGCGTTTTTAGATATATTAATCAAGGAGCATGCTTTAAAAAATAGTAAGAACACTAAAAAAAAAAAAAAAAAAAAAAAATTGAGGAAGACCTTAGAAGAGGGAAAGATCTCCCATGCTCCTGGATAGGCAGAATTAATCTTGTCAAAATGGCCATACTACCAAAAGTGCTATATAGATTTAATGCAATTCCTATTAAAATGCCAACTATACTACAATGACATTCTTCATAGAACTAGAAAAGAACAATCATGAAACGTATATGGAAAAATAAGAGACCCAGAATAGCCAAAGCAATCCTTAGCAAGAAGAGTGAAGCAGGAGGCATCACAATATCAGACATTAAACTATACTACAGTGGTATAGTAACAAAAATAGCATGGTATTGGCACAAAACAAACACGTAGACCAATGGTACAGAATAGAAGACACAAAGACAAACCCACATAAATACAGTTATCTCATACTAGACAAAGGCATCATAAACATTTATTGGTGAGAAGATGGCCTCTTCAACAAATGGTGCTAACAAAATGAAATTAAACCCTGATCTCTTACCCTGCATGAAACTCAACTCAAAGTGGATCAAAGATTTAGGCACTAGAACAGAGAACCTGTGTGAAATAGAAGAAAAAGTAGGCCCAAATCCTCACCATGTCAGCCCAAGTTCTGACTTCCTTAATAAGACTCCTAAAGCAAAAGAAGTAAAATCAAGAATCAATAAATGGGATGAATTCAAACTAAAAAAGATTGTTCTCAGCAAAAGAAACAATAATATGAAGAGAGAGCCTACAGAATGGGAGAAAATCTTTACCACATACACCTCAGATACAGCACAAATCTCCAGGATATATAAAAAACTCAAAAAACTTAATACCAAAAAAAAATCAATAAATGGGCCAATGAACTGAACAGACACTTCACAGAAGAAGATATACAATTGATCAACAAACATGTGAAAAATGTTCAACATTTCTAGCAGTTAGAGAAATGCAAATCAAAACTACTCTAAGATTCCATCTCACGGGCTGCAGTTGTGGCTCAGTGGTAGAACGCTCGCCTAGCATGTGCAAGATACTGGGTTCAATCCTCAGCACCACTTAAAAATAAAATAATGGTATAAAAAAGGATAATGACTTAAACGTGCATGCAATTAAAAAAATAAGATTTCATCTCACTGTCAAAATGGCAGTTATCAAGAATACAAGCAACAATAAATGTTGACAAGGATGTGGTGGAAAAGGTACACTTATACATTGTTGGTGGGACTGCAAATTGGGGCAACCACTATGGAAAGCAGTATCGAGATTTCCTCAGAAAACTGGGAATGGAACCACCATTTGACCCAGCTATCCACTCCTCAGTTTATACCCAAAGGACTTAAAATCATCATACTAAAGTGATGCAGCCACATCAATGTTTATATCAGTTCAACTCACAATAGCTAAACTATGGAACCAACCTAGGTCTCCTTCAACAGATGAATGAATAAAGAAAATATGTATATATATATACACAATGGAATATTACTCAGCCTCAAAGAATAATGAAATTATGGCATTTGCCAGTAAATGGATAGAACTAGAGAATATCATGCTAAGCGAAATAAGCCAATCCCCCCAAACCAAAGGCTGAATGTTTTCTCTGATATGTGGATGCTAATTCACGATGGGGAGTGGCTAAGAAAGAATACAATTACTTTGGATTAGGTAGAAGGGAGTGAAGAGAGGGGAGGTGTTTAGGGGTAGGAAGGATAGTAGAATGAATCTGACATTATTACATTATATTACATATTATTACATTATGTCCTATGTACATAAGGACATGTGATTCTACATCACATACAACCAGAAGAATGAGAAATTATACTCCATTTATATACAATGTGTCAAAGTACATTCTACTAAAAAAAATAAGATTTCATCTCACTGTCAGAATGGCAGTTAGTTATACAAGCAATAAATGTTGCTTGTATAACTAATTAAAACAAATAAAAACAATACTTGTGGGGTGGGGTTGTGGCTCAGTGGTAGAGCACTCATGTAGCATGTGGGAGGCCCTGGGTTCAATCCTCAGCACCACATAAAAATAAAATAAAGGTACTGTGTCCAACTACAACTAAAAAATAAACATTTTTTAAAAACTGTTTGGAAGACTCCTTTCTAGGTCCTATTAGAAATACTATATAACTAGTAGCAAAAACAAATGTTTTAATGAGCTAAATGGTTATCTTTAGAAAAATAAAAATACTTTGTATGTAATTTATCAAATGTAAAATACTATACTAGATCTTATTTTAAATTAGAAACAGAAAACTAGAATCACCACCCCTCTAGGAACAGTTTGGTAAAAGAATGAGATCTAGACCAAAACCTACCACATTTAAGCATGTAATCATCACCACTACATAATCATCACACTTTTTGTTTATTGGGGGTTTTTAGGGGTTCAAAAATTGGTTTATAACCTTTAATTGTGTAATCATTGCATGATATGATTCTGTTCATCACTATTATAAACAAAGCAGCAATGTAAATATATATATGTGTGTTTGTGTATATATAAAGATATGTTGTAAAATTTACTCATATTATCCAGTATTATTTGAAAAGCAACATTTGATAAAATCTGGCAAATATTATGTATGCAAGATTTTTTTAAATATTTTTTTGAAATTTATTTTTAGTTATAGATGGGCACAGTACATTTATTCATTTATTTATTTTTATATGGTGCTGAAGATTGAACCCAGTGCTTCACGCAAGCTAAGCAAGTGTTCTACTACTGAGCTACAGCCCCAGCCTCTATATGTAAGATTTTGATAAGAAAAAACTGGCTCTTGGGAGGGGCTAGGGTTGTGGCTCAGTGGGAGAGCGCTTGCCTAGCATGCACGAGGCACTAGGTTCAATCCTCAGCACCACATAAATGTAAAATAAAGATATTGTGTCCACCTAAAACTAAAAAATAAATATTTAAAAAAAAGCAAAAACTGGCTCTTTAGAATAATAGACATGTGTTAATTGTAGGAACTACTTCCCAGGAATTTTTTATTCACAGTCATTTTTTGTCTAAGTTTTACTCAAATTCACTGTTTTTCTTTTAGCCTAAATTTTTCATTTTAATTATCTATTTGGCTTTTTTTTTTCAGTGCTGGGGACTGAACCCAAGGGTGCTCTACCACAGAGCTACATCCCTATCTCTTTTTTCTGTTTTTTGAGACAGAGTCTTGCTAAGTTGCTGACGCTGGCCTTGAACTCTCCATCCTCCTTCCTCAGCCTCCTGATCAATAGGATTGGAGATATGCACCACTGTGCCCAGCCATCTGTATGTATTCTTGTTGCCATGTGTTTAAAATTCCCTCAAAATTTATGTGGAAAAAACAAAATAAAAAGAACTTTGCTCAGCTCAGGAATTCTCAACTCTGGCTGTGCATTAAAATCATCTCATGCAGGACATGGTGGTGCATACCTGTAATCTCAGTGGCTCAGGAGGCTGAGGCAAGAGCATCACAGGTTCAAGTCAGCATCAGCAACTTGCAAGGCTCTCAGCAATTCAGCAAGACCCTATCTCAAAATAAAAAAAATACAAAGGGCTGCGGATGTGCCTCAATAGTTAAGCACCTCTGGGTTTAATCCGTAAAACAACAACAACAAAAATCTGCTTAACTCTCCAGAATGATTCATGTTCAGACCCTAGCTCCAGGAATTCTGATTTAATTGTTCTAGGCAAGTCGTTAAAACTCTCCAGATGATTCTAATGTACAATTAGGATTGAGCTCCCCTAACTTAGAGCATATCACTTTTTATTTTTTGTATAAAAGAATAATTGGTCTCTTACAGTTTACAGATAAAGTCAAAAATATCTTAAAAGCATTTTACATACTACCTTGTAAACATTTCTGTATTGCACAGGCTTGTTTCTGGCACGGATCCTTTTGCGGCATATCCAGAAAACTAAAACAAGAAAAATGATTTTTATTTTGCTTTTTTACTCATAAATAAAGCTCCTTACATGGAATTTTCTTCAGAGACAATTAAAAATTACACTATAAATACTCTTCCCGTGTAGGATGAACCAACTGTATTTTTATAATATCCAGTTCTTTAAGGTTAGAAGAAATAAATAGCTTTACATGGGAAAAAAATCCTTAAATTCAATGTACTCGTCCTGCATATTGTAAACAAATGTTGGGCCAGAGGAACTGATGCTGCAGGTCAATGGGCCTAGACAGCTGCCCATTTGTATCATTCAGAGAGGAAACCCTTAATAAATGATTAAATTTCCTCAGCCTTTTTCCTCACTACTCATGTGTAAAATGAGATCATACCTACCTCAAAGGATTGATGGAAGAACTAAATGTGATAAAGATATAAAGTGTATAGAATAGTGTCTAGAAGGCAGTAAGTAAAGATTCAAAACATGGTGATTATTATTACCAAGACTCTTTTTTTTTTTTGGAGACAGGGTCTTGCTATATTGCTGAGGTTGTTCTGGAACTCCTGAATTCAACCTGCCCTCAACCTGCCCAGGAGCTATGATTATAGGCGCATGCCACTGCACCCAGCCCAATGCTTTAAAAAAAAACATTTTAATGTATATAAACTGTTATAATTACTTTGACTCAGGAAATTCTTTATAGGTGGTAAGTCCTTTCCTAGAAATCAGCAATGTTTGTCTACTATGTCCTGAGAAAGGTGCTTATTGATTAAGCAGCTAAAATGAGTTTGTGGAGCTCTTATGGAAACCAGCCTATTTAAAATATGTAACCAAAGAAGGAATTTTAGTGCCTACAATCTTGATGTGCAACTTCTAATAATTGGAAGACACAATTTCAGAAAGAAAAAAGGCCTAGAAGCCTTTGTAGCTAATTTCATCAATGCAAATAATTTTTTTTCAGAATCCCCTAAGTTCTCAATAGATACAAATTAGGTCAGTACTGGGATGGGAAACACCAGAGCAAAACCTAGGATATTTACAGGATGGGAGAAGGAAAGGCAGGTGAATGTGCTGCAGGGCAAATAAGCGACAAATAGATGTTGATGCTGCTAGGAGCTGCTCTCTTCTCTCTAAATCAGTACCAAGTCCTTGGTGATCAGGGCATCTGTTCTGTAGCACGTGCTGATTTTTGTGGGATTCATCAGATCCCAGTTCCAGCCGATGATGTCCATTAAAGGTTCTATGGCAATTTCCAAAGGAGTCAATTTCAAGTTATGTATCCTACTAAATGCTTTTGTTGACTCATTTTGTGCCTGTATAACCCTCTCTCTGCAGTGTCACTTGCAGTATTCTTCATAACCCTTCCTAAACTTCTGTGTTCTTGATGAGTTTTTCAACCCATGCCCTCCCCCCTGGGCCCAAGGGTGGGTGCACTGCAGTGGTGGATGAAGTGATTGCCATATACTGAACAGAACAGAGGAGCATATCTTCCTAGAATCCCAGCACCTGGAAAAAAAAAATCATTAAAATCACCACAACGGAATAGAGTGAAAACAAAGAAGGGGAGGAAGGGGGAGAAATAGAAATACATACCGGGTTAATCATCAGGCAAAAGCTTAAGCAACAGCTCCTGAACTCCCCTGACCTGTCAGGAAAAGAAAAGTTTATAGAGTACTCTGTTATGAGAGTTCTAATACAATGAGAAATGACTAAGCAATATGTGTACCATTAAATGATGCTGTATCTGCCACAAGCGAGAGTTGTTATCCATGTAGCGCTCCTCTGGGTAGAGTTGCCACATGAGAGGTAGCTGGGAGGTTAGAAGATGACTTGGCCTAGCTGCATTACCTAAGGGAACCTGAATTTGCTGGACTCGTGCCCTTAGGAAACTTGTCTCCTAATGGAAGAGAATGATTAAAAAAAAAAACACACACACACACACACACACAAATATTTCAGAATATTGAGACTGGTTAGAAACCAAGTTACTTGAAAGCAAAATCAAAGAAATAAGCAAAATGAAAAGTTACCTCTTCCACAACGGCCACCCATGTGCGCTGGTATTCGTCGCGGTAGATACCCTCTTGGTGAACCCAGAGGTGATCGGGTGGAGCCCCCACATCCTCTCCTGCCATTCTGGGCTTTGGGTTCCAATTCTAGCCCTGCTTTTCTCCACCTAAGCCTGTAGCACCCGTGCACAGGACACAGGTGTGACTTTTGGGGTTTGAATAACTCACCAGTGAGTAAGGTGCCCTGTGACTAGGAACCATCAATCAGAACCAAACCCCATAGATGTCTATTTGCACAGCCTAAATAGAACTAAGGACATCTGAAACTTTCTGCAAGACTAAAAGTGACACTGAGGAAACATTCAGGCAAAGCCTCAGGTAATGCTAACTGTTGACTGCAAAGCACTCAAGAATTCGAAGTGAGTTTTGTGGAAACCTAGGATAAGCAGTACAGGAGGCTAGGTACTGGTCTCATATTCTTTGCATTCACAAAGAAATGTCTGACAAAATGTAAGCAATAGAGAATGCACAGGAGAGTGCCTAAGGACGCAGTATTTTGGCAGGAAGTCAGTAACATGGACATATGCATGCCATATTCCTTAGGTAAAAGCCACTTCCAAGCAGTTTCCATTTTAATAAATGTAAGATTCTGAACCACATGCATGGATTTCTAAACTGGAATTTAAAATTTAAGGACAAAGGACCTATTTATCAGATCACTAGAAAAGGTTACTTATAGCAGCTGGGGATTTCTAGATGATTTCCATGTTTGAAAAAATATTTAGGGTAGCTTCATGGAGTTTCTGAGCTGCAAGAGACTTTAGGGATCATGGTGATGTAGAGCTGAGTGAGAACAAATCATAGTTATCCATCTAGATCTTTGTTTCATTTTAATAATGCTGCAAGATGTTACAAGAGTCCATTTTTTTCCCATTGAGGCATAGGTTTAAATTTTTATCTCCCAAGCCAGAAAAGCCCCTCTACCCTTTGAGAGATCTAAAGGAAGCACAATTCCCAAAATATTTGGGTGGCAGGACAAGCTCTTTGCATAACAATCCTCTGCCCAGGCTGGGATCTCATTTTAGGAACTTACAATAATTTGAGATGCATTTTGCACGAATGAATCTTTTTGTCCTAACTCAGCATTGTGGCAGTTTCAAAGGTAAAGGTCTACCTTTTTCAGAGAAGATAGGGCAATGTGGAATCTGTTCCACTAAACAAAGACCTCCTATTCACATTAGGTGGCCATTAGGTGGGAAAGAAAATGTAGCATAGCTTGGGAGGTTGTTAGAGCCTTCAGAGTGAGATTGTCTAGAGCAAACCAGATGTCAGAACTCATATGATGCAGGAACAGGAAAAAGTCAGAAATAAGAATTAAACTAAACCAAGCCCTCTTTTACAAGGATAACAATCTGAGTCTGATTTTTTCCTTAATAATGTTAAGTTTTCCTTTCCTAAAAAGGAAAATAGAAAAATACTTTTATACAGGTAAGGAATGGTTTGACTTTTGTGAATAATTTGAGAGCATCACAGTTGTTTCACCCACCATACCCTGAGTAGATCTGATTCTGAGCCTGGCGTATGCTGCTGTTTTCACATGAATGTGCTTCCTCATTTCAAACTCATTAAAGATGAAACTCTTTCACCTTAACCAAATCCTGACAATAGTTCTCCTGATCCTGTACACTCAAAACTTACGAATTATCTTGGATTTCTTCTTCCTTCTTCTTCTTCTTCTTCTTCAATTCTTATATCCTATCTGTCACCTATTCCAGCAAGCACCACCACTACCACTGTATTCAAAATAAACTTTCCCCCAAATACCATGTTCATTTCAAGCTTCATACTTTTCATCTTCCTTCCGACTTGTCTAAAATACATAAGTCTCTATATTTTAAAGCCATTTTTTCCATATACCAGATAACAATCATTCTGCTTCTCTTCCCCAGAGCTTTGGAAAGAAAAGTCACAAACAATATCCAGTATATGCTATTATCAAAATAAAAAGTTAAAACCTTGATTTTGAGCACCAAAAACAAAAAACAAAACAAAACAAAAAAAAAAAACCCATAATTGTTGCCAATATTTTTTTTTTTTAACTAGAAGCCAAGTGTTAAGGGTTTCAGGACCATATCAACTTCATAGATCCTATCACAACAACACATTAATGTTTAAATTTCTTTTGAATGAAAACAAATTTATATTGGATATACTATATTAAAGTAAAATAATTACAGTGGCAGAGAGGGTAAACAAATTGGAGATGATGTTTTGAGTTACTATGAATCACTACAAAGGGTTCTTATGAGTTACTACAAAATATTCTCAGAAGAAAGGCAATATGCTGTGTTGCCTTGACCCAGAGGTTAACATGCTGGGCACTAGGCAAGATAAGCCTGGAAACAAACCTCAGAACATTACCCTGAACTTGGGCTTGCTACGAATCAGAAAGCATGGTGACTCAGAGAAAGACAACAGCAGTGATCAAGGGACAGAGAAGCTACCATAACCAGGAATGAACAACATTCTCAGTAGAGAAATGCAAAGGCTGAGCAAGAGGAATCAGATCAAAGCCTATAAAAATGACAAGCTGTATGAATGGAACACCATTTCCTTAAACATGATTCTTAGAACACTTGTTCTCAACATTTTCCTTAGTCAAATAATTTTGGGAATATTGGAGAGTGATACTACCACAGCAAAAGCTCCAGCAAGTTATGCAGTAAAAAAAAAAAAAAAAAAAAAAAAAAAAAAAAAAAAAAAAAA